GAGTTGATCAGGTTGTTGATTGTGGAATGTTGGTCCACTCCTCTTCAATGGCTGTGCGAAATTGCTGGATATTGGCAGGAACTAGAACACGCTGTCGTATACGCCGATCCAGAGCATCCCTAACATGCTCAATGGAAGACATGTTAGGTTAGGGTTAGGCTTAGGGTTTAACCCTAGGGTTTTGGACCCCCCCAGACCCCCCAAATAAAAGCAAAACTCTGCGTTTCAGAGTGGCCTTTTATTGTGGCCAGCCTAAGGCACACCTGTGCAATAATCATGCTGTCTAATCAGCATCTTGATATGCCACACCTGTGAGGTGGGATGGATTATCTCGGCAAAGGAGAAGTGCTCACTATCACAGATTTTTTCAGATTTGTGAACAATATTTGAGAGAAATGGTTATTTTGTGTATATAGAAAATGTTTTAGATCTTTGAGTTCATCTCATGAAAAATGGGAGCAAAAACAAAAGTGTTGCATTTATATTTTTGTTCAGTGTACATTGCAATCCGGATTTGAAAACAAACACAATTATTAATTATGTAGACATACATGCAATCATTGAAAATATATACACTTCCAGCCACATATCTTAATTATCTAAAATAAATGTTTGAATCCATAAAAGCCGCAGTACGGCAGGGTTAGCAATGAAACAATCGAAATACTTGATTAATCCCAGCAGCAATTATGCACAGGAACGAGGCAGGACGTCTTCCACAGCCCAGTCTCATGGTGAACCTCTCTGTGCGAACAGTCCGTAAGCCATCTAAGGAACCTTTGGATAAAGTGTTGGTGGAAGCGTTCTTGAGGTGAATGTTGCCCAAGTAGTCTGGAAGCCATGGATGGAAACATTGTCGTCATATATCCTGGTGGAGGTCAGAACATTATGTTCCGACATGTTTTCGTAAAGCACATTAAACTACTTTACTCTAGATACTCCGTCTGACTCATAGCTAACAGCATTAGCTCGTCTCATCTGTTTACCCTGCATCCTCTGTGTCTTTATCCAAATTCAGACTAGCCATTGTTTTCCGACCACCATGCTATAATGTCTCTTGCAAGTAATATGGCCACAAAATGATAAATAGAAATTCTATTCTTTTTTTTCTATTTTCAAAAGTGCTACAATAGCAATAAAGGGCCCCCAGACCGGAATTGATTATCAATGCATGAGCAAGTGCAAACAGGGTGAGAAAATAACTTCCTGTTATTGTTTTTGATGCTGACATCTTAGTGTGTGACCTTTTTCTGGGTTATGAGAAATTAGAGCTGTTATTAAGAACCACCCCAGCACAGCAGCAGCACACACACAGGGAGACACAAAAGTAAAATACCATGGGTTGTCTGTCTGGGTAAATGATGGAGGGACCAAACTAAGAGACATGACTAGCTTTGATTCCACCAGAAGAAAGAAAGATATGCAATAAGTGACCGCGAGCACGGAGTGGATTGGAAAAAATGCAATTTGTCCGGGGTAAATCCTTCTCGCTGCATGGCAATTCACACAATGCAATGGTGCAACTGGTATTCATGAAACAAGCCGAGCTACGCGTACGCTTTCATAATTAGTTTGCTATGGAATCTAGTGTTATAAGGTGTCATTGCTTCATTTTTCCATCTTCTTCATTTCCATCATAATACATTTTCACATTGTTGCAAAGGGATGTGTAATTAGCTATTTTTCTCTGCTAGCCACAGTCCCTATCAGCAGGTCATTAATAGTCCAATCTTGTGCTTTGCTGTCAGCTTGTTTACCTAATCTCATTCCACAATCCAGCACAAGAGAATAGAAAAGGCTTTACAATTATATTTCTAATTTGCACTTTTGTAATATCTCTGTTGCTGAGAAAGCATTAGACATTGGAATGATACTCTTTCAAACAGCATTGGTATTTTTCATAATCTTTAACAGAGATTAATTGAAAGTCAGAGTATACACATCTGTTCAACAACATTACAAGACACACACAGGAATACATGTAGGACATACGTTTCAATTAAATGTTAATTAAAAGCTATTGCTCATAGCAACATCTATACAGTTGAGAACAATAGTAAAAGTAAAGCAGAAACGAAAATTGAGAAACTTAGCTGCAATATCTTTTGGGCCACTTGGGACAGCAAAGATCAGTTTTGAACACCACATTGACATATTTTGTGATTAAGTTATGAGAACTTGGCCAGCTGCTAGAGGTTAGGTAGATTTCATCATAAGTTAGCAAATTCAATCAAATGTTGGTCAATTATGCTTGATACTTGAATTTGCTTTAAGAAAATAATACAGTGTACATCACAGCTCTCCATAGGATTCCATTTATTTTGTTACAAAAAGTGTCGGAAGCTCATCCCTTGAGCAGATTGCTCATAACAAGGGGAATTACAGTAGGAGGGGTATATTTCAGGCTTGTTATGCAAATACGTTATTTAGCTTTTTTTTTATCAACTAAGATTTGTTATGATTTGTTGAATTGACGGAATTTATTTGCAAAGTGGGCTTATTAACACATGACTACTAATGTGTATTATCTGTTCCCTATACATATATATTCTGAGGGCCAATTCAAAATGGACAAGAGGCCGCAGTTGACCCCCAGGCCTTAGTTTGAACACACCAAGGTAATATAAATAATACCATATTGTAGACATACTCTGTTACAAAGAAAAGTCTGTCATTTAAAATGTTACTTACGGAGCTTACACACGGCAGCGGCGTGCGTTGAGGCTTCAACGCTTCTGCCCATTCCATTTGCATGGGGTGACGTCACGCTTTGCCGAACTTCATTTTGGGAGCAAAGCGTATCTAGCCAATCAAACCGCGTGTATGCTGGGAGAGCCATACCGCAGTTAATTTCCTCATGTGCCAAAAAATGGAGGAAAAGATCATTGTAGCGGTGGGGAATCACCCGGTGTTATATGATCTGTCCCTGTTCACCTACCGGGATACAAACCGGAGGAGCCAGGCATGGAGGGAGGTGGCAGAGACAGTGGGTGAAACTGGTAGGTTTTCGCCTGTTTGGGGAGTTTATATATCCAGTTGGTCGCGTTGCTCGTGTTAACTCCCCAAGCTTCAGACACGCCCACCGCCAAGCGTCAACGTACGCCGACGTGTGTAAGCTCCGTTAAGAAAAAGTACAAAAATATTAGAATCTAAATATACTAAAAGAACCAAAAGTAAAAGTACTCGTTGTGTAGAATGGGCATTCTTTGGAATAAAGTAAATCACTGGATTCTAATGAATGATTCATTAATGGAAAACCGTTTTAATTTAGCATCTGGTAAGGTTTAGATACTATGAATCATTAGTCAGTTTAATTTGTGTAATAAAAATAAACCTGCAAGTAAGTAACTCATCTTGGAAACTAAATGTGGAGAGCAAAAAGTACAATATCATCTTCAAATGTGTATGAAGTAGCATAAAAAAAGAAATACTCTAATTAAAGAACAAGAACCCACCTAACTAATCTATTGACTGCCACAAGATTTATACTTTAACTCAATCCAAATAAGGTTATTCAGCAACCAAACAAGATACAATATAACAGCCTTTATTAGGTATTACATAAACAGGCTTGTGTTTAGCAACAGGCATGTCTCTTTTGCCCTTTCAGGTTAGAACAGAAAATCATTCATTAAAGCAATTAAATGAATAATGAATCCAACTATTCATCTTCTCTCACCGATATTTGAGGAATCAAGTCTCTAGTGCAAGTAGCAAATTGAGTTGCAATTATCATTGAGTAAGCGTGAGGTTTTGTAAAACTGATATGTTTTCTCAAAATGACCAGGTAGCAACAAGACGTAGCAACAAGAAGCTTAATTAAAAATGATTGACAGCATAAGAATTGGACTGATAATTTTATTGCTTTCTCGAGAGGAGCAGGTACCTCAAGGTGATGAAAACGATAAGACTTGAAGATAAAATGATACA